CCAAATTATCTGAAGATAAATAGATATTCTCTGCACTGCCGGAGTTTGTCAAGTTCCAGTGCCTGCAAGGAACCTGAGTTGGAGAAATATAGGAGTTGTGCTGTTTTCAAGAAGTGTCAGGCTGAACATTTCAGAAGTGATGCCCATTGCCATTTTACCTTTATTTAATGAGAGCGGTGTCTTATTTTCGGTACAGCCGACCTCTGATTGCTCCCCCCGGGATGGGACATCACCATGGGGTTCTGGTATATAATTTTAACAATGGCTATCAGAACAGTAGGGATCTCTGCTAGAGACAAGACATCCTTGGCATGAAATATGACAGTTTTCTTCTTGCGTCTTTACAGTGCCTGTTGATGTGTGTAAAATTGCAGTTTCAAATGCAAGAGCTTAGTTAGGCAGCTGCTCTTTTCCTCCCTTCTTTTCAGAATCCCTCCCCCTCCCCCTGGTTTGACTGTTTCTGAGCAAATTAAATTTACTTTATCTGGTTTCTGTGTCTGATGACATTAATGCAACCGACACTGATGAGAACAATCCACCACCTATTTGGGATTTGTACAAAAATATGAATAATAGAATGTGTTAAAAATAAGCATGTCATATACTTTACAGACTTAAAACTAAGCAGGCAAATTCATAACCTGTGAAAACTTTGCAGCTTATTAGGGACAATGTAAGTGCTTTGGACTGAAATCCTTATTTGCAGTCCCAATTTTTTTCCTTGACTGAAGAAGGGCAAGATCTGCCAATAAAAAGTTGCTATTAACTTTGAAAGGAAGAAGACAGAATGAAGACCTATTTCCATCTGAGGTGGAAGTCACTGGTTAATTTCCAACTTCTCTTGTAACTTCATTGTTTTTATATGAATTATGACTGATAGTTGTCCAAGCCTAGACTTCAAAATCCTTTGGTTTTAGGAGCTGCATGAAATTGTAGCTTTGGTTACAGTAAAAAGCCATCGGGGATAGACTTTCTCTCTTCATTATGTAGCATTAAAACATTTGCCAACTCAGGCTCTGACTTACGTTTCCAATAAAGTGTTTGCAATGGTGATCCTGTAGGACTTCGTAGCTGAGTTCCTAAATCAATGGTTCCCAACATTTTTTTCAACCAGGGACCACTTGACCAGGGACCACTTGACCAGCGACATTAGTACCAAAAGGGTTATGAATCAGTTTTTGGTCAACTTTTGATTTGGTTTGGTTATTTGGGGTTGCTGATTCAGAAAATTGCATTGGATAGACCACATCAGCTCTACTTTCTGATACATAGTTGCCATCTGCTTGCCCACAGAAAACCATATTTAATAAGCCTTGGCACTATAAGATGGTTTCGTAAGACCAGTTGCTCTCGTTGCAATGGTGTAGTAACAATGAGGGTGCGGTCCACATTTAGTTCTTGCAGACCACTGGTGCTCCATGGACCACAGGTTGAGAACCGCTGTCCTAAAGAAATGGATGGACGGACAGTTCAAAAATAATAGGCTCTTACATATTATTTATTTATTTATTTTACAGTATTTATATTCCGCCCTTCTCACCCCAAAGGGGATTCAGGGTGGATCACAATGCACACACACACGGCAAACATTCAATGCTGTTTTTGACATACAAGACATACAGACAGAGGCCATTCAGCAGTTATTCCACTTCGGATCTTGGAGATTGCTCAATTCAACCACAGGGGGAGCTGTCACTTTGTCCATTATGACGCCAAGCCTTTTTTGATCGTAGTACTTCCTTCTTGCTCTCCGGCATTTTTATGGTGTCATAAATTAACCTTCCCGCTTTAAGCAGTCCCTAGTTTCTCTACTCACAGCTCACAGCTGTTTTCGAACTGCTTAGGTGGACAGTAAGCTGGGCCATTTTTTTTAACACAGCTATTAACAGTCAGGCGCTCAACCCTGACTTGGGCTTCGAACTTGCCACCTTTCAGGTGGCAGTGATTTATTGCACCTGATTAACCAGTTGTGTTACCAGCGAGTTGTATTGTCCATATTAGAAATGGGTATGTCCCTTTCTAAAATGCTATTGCATTGCATATCCCATAATTCCTCACATTGCTGGCTTGGCCTGATGAAAATTGCAACCAAGCAATATTGGAAATTCTGGACATTCACTGTTTTTTATATGCCACCATCTACAACTAACACTGTAGGCAGGCATGTAGCTGGGGCCCCTAACCTCCCCCCCAAATTTTCAGGGTGGTCCGTGAGAAGGCCTTACTGATATATTATTTAAACTGTTATGTTTATTCATATCATGATCTGATCACGATGCTCAATATATGCCATATGGATGGGGGTACTGGGATAATGATACAAAAAATTTGTTAGAGTAGATCCTCTCTCACTCACATTCAGCCCCCCCCCCCCCCCCGCCGAATCAAAATCCTGGCTATGGGCCTGACTGCAGGACATCTTTGTGGAAATGGTCTCTTCACCTGAAATTATATGCAAACAGAGTCCTTACAATCAACCAAATTACACAGAATAATATGGAATTACAGACTCCTGCATCCCAATCTTCCTTCAGATTGGGCCAGGTGTTATCAGCCAACAGCTCCCTAGGCGTTATTGTGAGCATAAACTGGGATAATGGCAGGAAGAGACCATGTACACCTTGCATCTTGCTGAAGGGAGAAGAAATTGATATAGATTATCAGATTAAGTCAGGTCCCCCTATGTTTGCATGTGTATTGTTAATGATCCAGGTAAATCAGTTACAATATTACCTCCTAAGAGTATAGGAGGTTGCATATATCAAGTCAGCCCACCTCCTCCATTTGTGCTTAGTGCTGTGTACATGAAACCTTCCCAAACTTTGCAGTCTCCATGTGCTGTTGGATTACAGATCCCATAAATCCTAGTGAACATGCTCAGACATTAGGGCAATTGTTATCCAAAATCTTTAGGGCACCAGATTTGAGATGGGGATGAGTTGCTCTACGCTTGCTTGTAGCAACTATGTAGTTTTACAAAGGAACATTTTCATTCTTTCTTGTAGGTGCAAAGAACTAAATCTATCATCTTTTATATGCAGAGCATGTGCTCTGCCACTGAGCCTTGCCCTTTCTCTTCAGTAGTCAAATAGGAATCACAGCTACTTGCCATCCTTAGTGTTCATTAATTGGTTCCCTAATGTACACGGACAAAACATTCACTTTCTAATTGACAAATGGATGACAAATCAAAATTATCTTCATTTGGTTCAGCTTTTTGAAACTAGCATGACTGAGTCTATTAAGGGAAATTATAATTTAGGTTGCTACAAATGGGGGGAAAAATAAAGAAAGGCTTAGATCCACCTAATCTGGAGTCTTCAGAAGTACTTATTTGAGGAATCTTAAAATGGATAGGGTAATGATGGAGCTTGTTAGTTTTTCATCTTTGCAGCTTCCATGTTGAATAAAATTCATCAGAATATTATAAATGACAGAGTATTACAAAAGGCAATCCTTTTCCATTTGATGTGTAAGATCCTCTCTGCTCCCCATAAAGGATAAAAGCAAATTTCAAAACCACTGAAAACCTGTGGCTCTTCTAGTTATTTAGCATCATTCTATGCATGTCTAAATTTAAATTCAATGGGTCTAACACCCAGGTAAGTGGGCAAATTAAGAGTACTAAAAGATATTATAACAGGGACATTCAGGCATGGTAACATTCTATATGTGCTTTGTATTTTGACATTTATAAGTGTGCTTTTTATTTTCCTTGATGTTTCTTTGGTGTATGGAGAGTCTATGTCAGAAATGAAAAACTTCTAGGACTCAGTGGGCTTTTCCTAACTCCCTAAAACTATTTTTATAGACTAAAAATGGTGAACTACACCCAAAAATTGACATTTTAGATCCACAGATGGAGGATTTTTACAAAACCAAAAATTATTTCTTAAAATTATTTATTTATTATTTGCAATATTTGTATACTGCCCTTCTCAACCCCGAAGGGGACTCAGGGCAGTTCACAGTGTTGGCAACAATTCAATGCCATTGGTAAAAACAGTATAAAACATTAAAATTGACCCTCCCCTAAAAAACATTAAACATTATTAAACACATCACATAAAATATCACTTATCATACAGAGACATAGCCATCGTAATCTGCTTAAAACCTGATTGCCTCCTGGAAATGACTCCCTGTGCAACTGTTCTGCCCCCACACTATCCTAACTACTTGGAAGGTGAATTGGCTGTGCAGGGAACAGATTGGAGACTATATAGTTGAATCAAACAAGAATTTATTAACTGACAAGAATTTTAGACTTTCTCTCCTCCTGAGTCTCACTACAAAGAGGAGAGGTAGTCTTTGAGACAGATACAGTTCTGGCTAAACTGAGGCTCTCCAATATTATTTCTTCTTATTGTCTCTTTCTTGTATGGTATTCAACTGTCTCTAAGATGGCCTCAATATTTAACCCTGACTGGACTTGAATACAGCTCTGACTTGATGTGCTATTTGTAGACCTTCTAGCCTTCCTCTCTTCACCAGTTACAAAAGGCAGACTCTTTCAAGAACCAGAAGTGCCTTGCCTGAGGTTTCGCCCCTGATGGGATTCTTAAAGGGGCAGGGCAATGGGGGTTCAAATGCAAAGAGACTGTCTTGAATGATCCTCAAGAAACTGTACACAAAATATTAATCCCTCTAACTAAAAATGGCTTAATTAAAGGTAAATAATGAGGGGCACAACAGCAACCAAAGTCTCCAAGACTGGCAATTTCTAACTTCCTCCATTTTGTAAAAAACAAAGAAAGGACACGGTAGACAATGATATTTGCAAAAATGGTCTTAATACCATAAGTGCCCACATTTACTCACCTCAGTCTAATAAGGCTAGTTTTTCATCTTGGCAAGATGTATATGCATCACAATTAATTAATTTTAAAAAAATCCCTATGTTGCAGGTATACAGTAAACATAAAAGAGTAGACATTTTGGAGTGGATTCTGAACAGCCTCTTTTGTACACAGCAAAAAAAACACACATATGCAATCACCTTAAAATATATTAAAATATTTATTATTATGTAATTTTTCATTTTTTCAAAGACACATGTAGAATCCAAGGAGTCAATCATTCAGATGTTCATTTAAGCTAACAGGTTTTCCTCATTCATCTTTAAAGTGAATGTTAAAGATCAACTAGGTCTTTCAAGTTGAAAGTTCAAAAATATATCTACCAACTGAAGAATTGTTGAAAAAATTAACATTCTGCACCATCCAGAAGAAACTGCTTTTAAGTGGTCCCAAATATTGTATTGTTGATGAAGAGCTTCACTTGACCTCCATGAAATAAAATAAGCAATATTCTAAATATACAGCAAGACAGGCTAGCAACGAATGGACCTCACCAAATAAATGAATAAACATAGGCTCACAAAAAGAACAAGGAAAGAATTCAGTAAAAAAACAAAAAAGGAAAACTTAATTCTGAATTTCATACATTTAAGTATTCAGTGGGTGAGAGAGACCGTAGCCATGGGAAAGGAGCCACATACATTCTCTTGTTTATAAGACCATGTTCAAAGCATATTGAATTACCTTGAATGACTATTCAAGAAGTGGAGCCTTTCCTCAGAGCTTTGTGTAAACACAATATTATCTCATTCTTTGCTCTCAGATGTTAGGGTTAACACACAAACTTCCATTTTATTGGGTTGTCAGGAACCCTGGTTTAATGGCCACTCATGAATGTATGAGTCACTGTTTATTGGTCCAGCATGTCATTAAGGTTGGCTTAATGTTATGGACCAAAGGTTTGGATACTCAAAAGGAAGGAATAATAAAGTGTTTTGAAGAGCTATGGGGAACACGGGAAGAAAACAAGCAACAGCCTGAGAAAGAATCTTGGTTGCCATATGTCCTCACCCCTATATTGCTGAGGCTACTGCATTTAATTTTACTAGAATTACAGGACAAATTAGGATGAGAAAAATCAGTTGCTATCAGTTCTGCGCTTGGAAACCATGACCATCTCCATGGCTATAATCCAGATGTAAAGAGTCTGCAAAAGCTCTGAAATATTATCCCAACTATAGCACTCTGGTGGTGCAATGTGTTAAACCCTTGTGATGGCAGGACTGCTGACTGACAGGTCACCAGTTCAAGTACCGAGGAGAGTGGGTTGAGCTCCCTCTGTCAGCTCCAGCTCTCCATGGGGGGACATAAGAGAAGCCTCCCACAAGGATGGTAAAATATATTTTTAAAAAACCCACTTGGGCATCCCCTGGGCAATGTCCTTTCAGACAGTGAATTCTCTTGCACCAAGTAGTTCCTGACAGGAAAACACACACACACACAACTGTAACACTGTAAAATGGTGTGGCAGGAATGCAAATGGTAGCTAGTAAATGCCCATGTTTGTGTGTAAGAGGTGCCGGACTGGCTCACCTATACCACAATCACAGATTAAAATGCATTATTTTAAGAAATGCTAGAATAAAACATTGAATTTCTTGGTTTTTTAAAAAAAATAATTCAAGAATTTTATGGGGGAAAACAGAATCCACCATTTCATATTGATGTAAAACTTCTAGAATTCATGTAAATTCACGATTAATGTATTTCATAAATGGCTTCTCTGACATCAGACCAGAAATTATGTAAGAAAGGACCAGTTCAACTGAAAGAGAAAAAGGAAGGAGGAAATTAGCAGCCATATGTCAAATGTTAATATCAGTTCTGAAAACTGTCCAAAAATTGTCTTAATTTGCATTTTAACTCTTCCTGTGAAATTCAATATGCCTCCTTTTTTGGGACTTTTCCAGGGATATTCCTCATCGCTGCAGGAAATCAGCTATAGTAGATCGTTCACTGTGGAATTCAGCTGATCCATCCAAGGAGGAAGATGATTTTGTGGACTTCTGTTCAAGCAGCCAAGTCTTGACAAATTCTGTTAATGTCAGGCAGGTTTAGCAGAACTTGAGAAATGATGTATCAACTTTAGTGTTGCCTAATTCAGCAAATCAAATTACTAACAGTTTCCATATGCCACTTAAAGGGGACTCTCATCTCTCCCCCTTGTGTGTACCTCAAAATGCTGTGGAAGGTTACAGATTTGGCAACCACAGGTAGAAATACAGGATGAATATCCCTTGAGAGATATGGGAGGTCAAGTAGTCCAAGTCAGCTGGGAAATTACTAGAGAGTCAACTCCGAATCGCAGCGCAAAGAGTAGTGAGGGAAGTCCAAAGTCAAGTCCAAAATTTAGAAAGCTGATCAGATCAAATTGACAAAGAAAAAACGGTCAGAAGCCTGTCTACGAGATAAATAGAAGTTCCTAGCTGCTGCAGTTGCAGCGGAAAAAAGGAACTGAAGCTGTGTCCCCTCCCACTGGCTATATACCATCAAGGGGAGAGTGAGCAGAGCCTCTGCCAAAATGTATCTAATAAGAGCTTCTAGCAAGTTCCGAAACTGACTGTGCAGGCACAGGAAACCCATATGTGCAATTTCACAGAGACCAAGATGAAGAATACAGGATTAAGATTCCCTATTCAAATTGCATGGGATTTTGGACTTCAAGTTTTTTTAAATTTTGAAATACCTGCATTTGCATATACATACATAATGAGATTTCTTAGATATGGGGCATAAGTCTAAATATGGAGAGAAATTCCTGCTACAAGAGCAGAAGCCTGCTTTCATAAAACTTTCGCCTATCTATTTTAACTTTACAAAAGCATTGGCAACCTAAAATTGTGTGGTACATAAGTACTGGCCATGCAGGAAATAAGAATTTAATTAAAATAGGGATTATGGTATAAATTTGCTTCCTCTCAAAATTTAATTTAGGCAGTGATATTATATTTGTTTTCTTAGGATAAATCCTACTAAACTCACTTGAAGTGTACAGAGTTGCATTGTGAGTCTCCCCTTCTTTCCTACTATGCTAAGTGTAAGTCATGTTGCTAAGAGGGGTGAAATGTTAAATGCAGTCTATGATTTGCTCCGAGGGTTGCTTCAAAGTGGGATTAGAAACCATAAAATGAAATTGTGTGAATCCTGGAAGTTTATTGCAGGCAGCACCTGTTATAGGAGAGGAAGAGATAAGAGGGAAAACTATGAGAGTCACATTAATTTGTCTCCTTGTGCTTTTAACATCTGAGGACTCCACAATGAATGATGTTACAATTGCATAATTGTTCATTTATAGCATTAATTAACCCAGCATTGAGATTTCATTAAGGAGTCTTTAAAAAAAACTTTTGAAGAGGGAACTATTACCAACCAGCACTGAGGACTTCATACTTATAAAATATAATTCAAAGTTTAGTACACTTTGTTTCAGTTTACATCTTAACACTGGTGAATGTAATGAGGCTCTGCTTTTCTAGTCTTTCAAACACCGAACTGTGGGGAACCAAAGATAAAACGAACTGCAATAAACAGCCTAGCCCAATAAGGCAAATCGATTAGCAAAGTGATATGTCTTGGTGATCCAAGGGTTCACTAATGAGATCCCCAGCATGACGGCTCTTTGATCACTTTGAAGCTGTTCTCAAGTCTCCCAAAAATAATGAGAATATTTCTTTTAAACATTTTCATCTGAATCATACTGAATCATCTATGTGACTGAAGTAAACAGATAAATGTAAACACAGCCAAACTTATTCTGCTATAAGGCTTGCCTGAAATGCTAAGAAGACATACCATAACTTCCAGTCATGTTGGTACAGATAACAGCACCAAAGAAGGAGGGCTGATACTTCCGAATCCTAGATATAACTTTTTGGCATGCCATTGTTGGATCCATTCCTGTTCGCATATACTCCACTGCTTGATAGCTGAGTTAAGGAAAAGAAACAAACAGGCTAGCAGAAAGTATCTCACAGTGCTTAAAGAAGTAATATTACGTCCATTTTATGAACATTTTAATCCCCCCTCTCCATCTGGTGTCTGAGATAAGTGTTTATTTTTTTTCCATGTCAGAAGTTACTTGAGAAACTGCAAGTTGCTTCTGGTGTGAGAGAGTTGGCTGTCTGCAAGGACGTTGCCCAGGAGACACCCAAATGTTTTGATGTTTTACCATCTTTGTGGGAGGCTTCGTCCATGTCCCCGCATGGGGAGCAGGAGCTGATAGAGGGAGCTCATCCACGCTCTCCCCAGATTCGAACCTGCGACCTGTCGGTCTTCAGTCCTGCCAGAAGAAGGGTTTAACCCACTGCGCCACCTGTGTCTCCTAGATAAGTAGTAATCTAACACAGAATTTTTCTGGGTTCCCTTTTGGAACAGGATGTTATGTTGTTTCTAAAAATTATTATAAATACATTTTAAATTATACTTGATATTATTTTCTCTTTTTTCTTCATCAGGCTACAGGAATTGGACAAAAGAAAATGAAACTTTGATTGGCAGGTAAAATAAGGCACCTCATCTAATATGTGCAAATAGTGTGATTTTTCACCAAAACCCAGTGATCATTCTTCTCCTTTAATGTTACTTGCTTTACATCAGTGGTTCCCAACCTTTGGGCCTCCAGTTGTTTTGGACTTCAGCTTCCACAGTTCCTAACAGCTGGTAAGCTGGCTGGGATTTCTGGGAGTTGAAGTCCAAAACATCTGGAGATCCAAAAGTTGGGGACCACTGCTTTACATGAACTATGACAGCCGACATCAACTAGAGTACTTTCCACACTCCTCACCCACACTCTTTGCTGCTGTGCTAAATGCCTGCTCCAGAATTTAGCAACTCTTGATACAAGGAGCTAAAGAAGGAAGCAATGGGACACAAAAGAAGGACTGCTAATTGCTGGGAACATCCTCTAAACAATTGACACAATGTTCTTTTTAACATTCCTTGTATGAATTTTTATATTCATGAGGATGAACATTTCCTGTTAAAAATATCACTTACACTGGATTTCAGAATGCCAGCTTTCACTTAGAATCATAAAATCATCGAGTTGGAAGAGACCTTGTGGGCCGTCCAGTCCAACCCCCTGCCAAGAAGCAGGAAAATCGCATTCGAAGCACCCCCGACAGATGGCCTTGACATATATTAGGGAAACTTTTTTGTATTTATTAGCTGTAGCAGACAACCTGCAATAACCTTCCTCACTTCTAAGGTCCTGAGTATCTCATGACATTGATTGTTCTTGCTGTTTTTATTGTTTTGTGCCTTCAAGCTGTTTCTGGGGTTTTCTCAGCAAGGTTTGTTTAAAGCAGATTTGTCTGTGCCTTCCTCCAATGCTGAGGGAATGTAACATATCCATTAGGTTTCTATAGCTGAGGGGGAATTTAAATCATATGATCTTCAGAATCATGATCTAACTCTTAATACACCACTTATACATGTGAGATGATGACCATACTGTTTTCAAGCGCATCTCAAAATGATAGTTTTTTCCCAATCACAAAAATCTATTCAAAGTTAGCAAAATATAAAAACCTGGGCAAGAAGCGCATCATAACATCCCCATCTCCGGTAGCAGCTGCACCTCCAGCTGTACTATCAGCATATGCCCCAGCTCCAGCTATCGGGGAATCACCTACACGTCTAAAATAGGAAGAGAATGTATAACATAGTGCATCAGTGAGAACATTTCTAATATTCCCCATGTGCCTGTAAGTCAGTTTAGTAACACGATAACATTTAGGTTTTCTCTCAAACTCAAACAACTGAACACTCCCCTAACTCCATGCAACATAAAACGAACACATAGTCTTTCCACCCATTTACTTTGTAGAAAAAGGTTTCTTATGTGAACTCTCAGCCACAGACTGACTCACCAAACAGGCCAAAGAGCCTACTCTAAACAATTCTTTAAAGAAGTACTAAGCTTCTATAGCTTTTCATTATTTGAGATTCTGGTTTTTATTAGGATCCCCAATGGGGAAACTATGTTACTCAGCTGTCATTTTGCCAATCACTTTCCCCAAATGATTGTTAACTGTTGGTAAAAAAGCACAGAATGGGAGGGAAGAATTATCTTTCCCCATCCCTGAATTGGATAAAGAGATAGACAGAACAAACTGTTGGAGTTTTCATCTATGAAATGTAGCTGACAATAAAGTTAACATTTTAAAAGACAAACTTAACATGTAAGATGAATTCAAGGCGTAAGTCTTACTATATCTAAAGATTTTGTTCTCTCGTGTTCAATTATTTTGAAAACAATATGGATCCACAATAAAGTTAACATTTTAATAGACAGACTTAATATGCGGGTGGGTCAAAAGGTTTTGCCTCTTGTGTCATAAGAACATAATGAATGAACATATAACAGCAGAAGTTGCTACAGATCATTGCCTGAACTGTCGTCCACGCAAAACAACCATTCAACATGGTTATCATCAATTTGTACACAGTTGCACCATCGTTTAACACAGACATCAAAACCATTTTGGAAAAAAATCAGGGTTTTGCTTCATGACCCATGATTTTAAAGTTGTTTAAACGTAATTCAAGTCATTGAATCTGAAACCATGTAGGTTGTCTTTCAGACGTCTAAACAGGTAAAAGTCAGAAGGGGCCAAATCAGGGACGTAAGGTGGGTGAAGCCAAATCATAAACATTTTTCAAGTGATTGTGGATTTCCTTATTTGGCCAGAAAATCAATGACAACACTTTATTTTAGATTCAGATTCATGGTCCTAATCAACTGGAAAAAGAAAAGACTATACAGTAAGGTTACCTTTATCATATCATGCTGTGAAAGAAATAAAGAGTGATGGAGGCATTACTTTTTGACCCACCCTTGTATTTATAGTAGCAAAAGTATTTTACATATAGCTATAAAACACTATACAAATGCCTAAAGCCATACTAATGGCAAGATTGAAAATTACACTGGAAATTCAAGCATTTTGCATCACTTGATCTATTCACACACACCAAAAATTGTTGATGCAAACTAAAATTGAGAAATAAATTGAAAAGCGGAGAAAAGTAATCCACTTGTGTTATACAATACTATTTTTCCAGAATGCATACATATTCCCATTACTGTAGCAGCTAATAATTAAAAGAGCCAAGATTTGCATCATAACAATACAAACCCTTGAATTTTGTGGTCTGCTCCATTTGTGGATGTCCCTGCAGCAATGCTTCCAGTCTGCCCAATCACAATCATGCCTACACATTTGAAAAGGAGTGAAAGGAGAAGTATTTACAATGCTTCTTTTTAAATTCACTTAGCACAAGTTGACAGTAAACATGGACAGCGCCCATTTCTTTTTATGAGTCTTCCGACAAGACATCTATTTTACTTGAGAGTTATCCCCTTCTTTTCTTAGATCAGTTGGAAAAGAGACAAAATATCCTTCATTTTTAGAATAGCTCCACTTTTAGACCTATTCGGGAACCTTTTTGAACATATTGGGAATAGATCATGTAAAAAGAAAGATATTAAAATGATGTGTTGTTGAAGGTTTTCATAGCCAGAATCACTGGGTTGCTGTGAGTTTTCGAGGCTGTATGGCCATGTTCCAGAAGCATTCTCTCCTGATGTTTCACCTACATCTATGACAGACATCCTCAGAGGTTCATGGTTTCCTCCTTATTGTTGAAATTGTCCACATATGCTTGTGAGTGTCAATGGCTTCTTTGTGTAGTCTGACATGGTTGTTGTTAGAGTGGTCTGGCATTTCTGTGTTCTCAAACAATATGCTGTGTCCAGATTGGTTCATCCAGTGCTCTGCTATGGCTGACTTCTCAGGTTGAAGTAGTCTGTAGTGCCTTTCATGTTCTTTGATTCATGTTTGGGCAACATGCTGCGTTTGGTGGTCCCTATGTAGACTTGTCCACAGCTGCATGGTATACGGTAGACTCCTGCAGAGGTGAGAGGATCCCTCTTGTCCTTTGCTGAATGAAGCATTTGTTGGATTTTCTTGGTGGGTCTGTAGATAGTTTGTATGTTGTGTTTCCTCATCAGCTTCCCTATGCGGTCAGTGGTTCCCTTGATGTATGGCAAGAACACTTTTCCTCTGGGTGGATCTTTGTCTTTACTCTCGTGGCTTGTTCTCGGTCTTGCAGCTCTTCTGATGTCTGAGGTGGAGTATCCATTGGCCTGTAAAGCCCAGTTTAGGTGGTCCAGTTCTTCTTGGAGGAGGTGGGTTCATTCTTTTTGCAACGTCTGCCAGGGCTTTAATTGTGCTTCTTTTTTTACTTGGGTGATGGCTGGAGTTTTTATGTAGATAACTACCTGTGTTCACAATTTACAGAAAACCTACACACACTGATAGGTACCTACACAAAAACTGCCATAGATGTGGGTGAAACATCAGGAGATAATCGGGAGGGGCAATGTTTTGGGGGGCTTCGTTGGGCTGTGTAACCTGATGAGCTACACTACACCCTGCAGTAAAGGGATTTCAAGACATTCTAATTTTGATCCTGATATTTTCTGATATATTACATCCAAACGAATCCAAACGAATCTTAGAGGTGTTTCATAAACATAACAGTATGCTAACACTAGGAGCCCTCAGTGGTGCAGCGGGTTAAACCGCTGAGCTGCTGACCTTGCTGACCAAAAGGTCAACAGTTGGAATCCAGAGAGCGGGGTGAGCTCCTGTTATTAGCCCCAGCATCTGCCAACCTAGCAGTTCAAAAACATGCAAATGTGAGGAGATCAATAGGTACTGCTTTGGCAGGAAGGTAACGGCGCTCTATACAGTCATGCTGGCTACATGACCTTGGAGGTGTCTATGGACAATGCCGACTCTTTGGCTTAGAAATGGAGATGAGCACCAATCCCCAGAGTTGGACATGGCTACACTTAATGTAAGGGGAAACCTTTACCTTTATATTATATGCATAAAATTGATATCTTTACCTAACACTAGGTTAAGCAATTATTGAGGATCAGTTTTCATGTGTGTTCAATGGGCAATTTGTTTAAACCAGGCAAATGCCTTATTTTGCCATGTTGTCGCGCTGTGGTTCTGTTTCTTTGCTGACAAAACAGTTATGACTTATGATAACTGACGCTGCACTGGCTTGGGCAAACTTCCAGAGCGCAAGCATTATAAAGGCACACCTTTAGATTAGCAAGATCTTTTAGCATTTGACATTTTAAAAATGCTAATGACTTAATGATTACAAGTTTAATCATCACAGGCGGAGTGTCTTCTTAAGTGTCTGGCAATGAGACTTATGCTCCCAAGTCACTTAGGTGCTTCTGTAAATTCCATATTTAATTGCTATGCAGATGGTAGAAACTGAATCCAAGCACAAATTTCCTCTCTGGCCCCTCCCCATTGCCTCTTTAGTTAACTATCGAAAATTTGAAGTTGAAACTAGGATATTAGGAATAATTTGCCAGATATATGGACTTTTTGGATCATCTGTTCTTAGGAGGAATACACTGAGGCATCCATGATACTTTTAGCAAGTAATCAGGCAAAAATAGCAAAATTGTCCCTGCTTGGAATCACATGGTGCTTTGCAATTCAGATCCACAACAAGGTTTGAACAGAAATGTGTCCCTATTATCTGCTTTAAGATATAAAATACAGCATAAATGGAGGTAGCAAATATACTATTGGGAGGTGAGAATGAACAGAGTTCTGATACTAAAACTAAAAAATATTATTAATTGTAAGCCAGTACACATTTTCCTGAATCACTAAATCTGTACCCTAGGACAAAAAACAAAACACACACAGAAACAAAAATAAAAACACAAAACAACTAACTAGCCATTATTTTACTTAAACTGTGTCGTTTCTTACTTAAAATGGACAATCATTTTGTGAACCATAGAATGTATTACAAGCAGAAGTATGACAGCAGGAAGAGTTGCCAAGAAGGTATACCAATAGTATCATGATTCTGAACTTGTATGCTTCTCTCCAGGACATTTTGTTCCTCCTTACTGAACTTTCCAGTCTGTTTGTATGGGCCACATGATTTTGAAGCATCTGGTGTAACATTCTGCAATCAAAGTTTCATTCACATTAAAATATTTAACAATAACGAAAGCCGTTTCAAAGAAACCTGCATTTTCCCCCCAGCGGTATTAAAAATAGAACTAAATTATCATACTAAAAGAATAATGTAAGCGCCTTGTATACATCAAAAGACAAAGAAGTTTCAGCAAAGGCAAATTATCGTAGTTCACACACTTTAAACAAAAAACAGACAAAAGCATCTATCTCAATTTAAAATAACTCAATACTGAAACACTCCAGTTACAACCTACCCCTCAGATCTCACATTGTTATGTGACTTGCAAATGAGTCCTAAGATGAGTAGCCAGAAAAGAAATAAATACCAAAACATTGTATGTAAACACCCCTCAGCATGATCATACTTCTTCCTACCTACAGTTGTAATTTAAGATCAGTTTTTTTTCCCTCAAGGCTTGCTAGCATCCCTATTGATTGTGATGACACACACCCCGACTAAAGTTTACGAAAACCATGCAAATTGCAGCATCCCTTTTTCTTTCCTTTCAATGGCAGCTCAGGTTAAGGTAACTATGATAGTGTTTTAATTACAAACTTGGTCTTCAATTATTTAAAGCTTCTAGTCCACAAAAGTTTGGGTTCTTGTAAGTACTTTTTTTTCTACAAAGCACTGCAGTGTGGGTTTTCTAACAGAATGTAGCCAAAATAGCAACATCCATATAAATACCAGAAGGTAAGCATTTTGCACAGATCACAGTTTAGTTCTTATCCAATCATGGAATGGGGTGCTTCTCATTATACAATTTAAAATTAAATATAAGAAAACCTTTGAGTCCATACTCAAAACTCAGTTCGAAAGCACTGGATTCAGTGCAAACTCTGATATTTTGGGTCTGTATGGACCTGAAAGATAAACTTTTACTAGGATGACACATACTCAGGTCCCAACTTAGATTAATGAATAAAAAACAGAGTTAAAGCTAGAGCAGAAATTCCTCTTCTTCTGTTCTCTGTACTAGGCTTAAACTACAGTTCTGAATCTTGTTATTTGTTTGTTTGTTTACTGTATTTATATACTGCTTTTCTCACCTCTGGCAGGACTCAAAGCGGTTTACAACATATTAATGGCAAAAATCAATGCCAACCATACATGTGAAAACCAAATCATAATATTAAACAATAAATTATAAATTAAAATCATTAAGACCATTAAACACAAAACATAACCAAAATTTAAATATTAGGACATAGCATTAAAACATCCTAGCATAACCATTAAAATCACATGATCCAAAGTCGTAAACTGAAGCCATTCCAAATTGTCAGTTGCACATATTCCCTATTTATTTCTTGCACTGCATTACTTTACTGACCAAAGACTTGATCCCACAACCATGTATTTATTTTCTTTCTAAAGGCCAGGAGGGAGGGTGCTGATTTAATCTTAGTGGGGAGAGAGTTCCACAGCCAAGGAGCCACCACTGAGAAGGCCCTGTGTAGTGGATCATACCTTGTAGGCCGAAGCCGAAAAGACAGTAGCCGGCCTCCATCTTGGTGAGGGAAATACAAGGAGAGTCTGTTCAGCAGAGGGGAGGAGTTTAGCTGCCCCAGGATTGGCTAGGACAGATGGGAGGAGCTGAAGCTGTCAGTGTAAAAGGGAGGCAGGCAGCTTCTGACAGAGAGAAGTGAGTTAACATCAGACAGAGAGAGAAGGGATTTTAAGGGTTTTAAGAGCAGAAAAGGGAACTGGATTTCAAGCTGAGGGAAGAGGGTAGTTTGAGAGTGAGTGGAAAATTTCCTGAGGGAGAGTGTTGGAAAGGCAGGTATGGCTATAGAGTGGCCTGGAGAGCCAACAGCCACCTGTGAACTGGTGTGAGAGGAAAACACACTAGTTGTTGTACACTCTAAAGATCAGAGTATTCTATTGGGATCTAGATACGCTGAAGGAAGTTGCTCACGTCGAAAAACAGATACCCAGTTGAGAAGTTCAGCAAGCTTGTTAAGTCTTAGTAACTGTTTAAGAAGATTGTGCTGTGCTGACCATATATGCTTTCGTAATTCAAAGAAGAATCCAGCTGTTTGTTCTAATATATTTAAATAAACTTTGTTCTAGTTCAACTTTACAAGAAGTCCTCACATTGATTCATTTCATTAAGCCTGTTCCAGTAGAATTCTAACATCTTTTCACCTCAGACACATTAGGGGGAGTTAAGGAAAGGGCTGTGGCACACTAAGCTTTACCTCACACATAACATCAAGTTATATTCTCAAAAGCTATTTGAGTGGTGGCAGTAATACCTTTAAAAAAACACATAGAGCTTTGTGACAGGTGTCCGGTTGGAGCCTAAGAAGACAAAGTCCTCTACTCTGTTCCTTCAAATTGGTACTATCGGCCGATCGGTCCCTTAGTTCTTTATACCCTGTCTCTCATTCCCACCAACTGCACTTGTGAAGGAGGTGGAACTGAGAACAGGACCTCTCCAGAAGATCTTAACTTCCGTGATGGTTCATAGAGGGAGAACCATTTGGACAGATAAGCTGGTCCATAACTATTATCAACAACAGTACTTCTTGCTCGTGATGTGTACCTTCAAGTAGTTTCTGACTTATGGTGACCCTTAGGTGAACAGATCAGGGTTTTCTTCTTAAGATTTATTCAAGGGAGTGGGGAGGTTGCTTTTGCCTGAATGTGGCATGTCTAAGGTTTCTCAGTGGATTTCTATGCCTGTGTGGATTCAAACCCTGGTTCCAGACTCCTAGTAAATACTCACTGGCTTTCCAGTAGGTGGCTTGGGACCAATCTGATTCAAAGGTTTACTACCACAAGTAACAGAGGAGCCCTGGTTGAGGCAATTGTTTTTCTTCCGATCTAGTCCTTTTGTTCTATCTTATGACTTCTCAGTATTTTCTGAAAGTGATCCAGCGATTAGCATTCCAAATTGAATTTTGCTTTCTTTCCCTTAACAGAATTGCTGTTGATGTTTCTCAAGTGTTATAAGCTACCACTAAACTGCAATACGGAAGTTTTTCAAATTATTGTGTACAAATATTAACCTTTTTCTCACCTCATTCCTTTAAAAGTGGAATGCTATAGTACGATATGGTGTCTTCCAGCATTACTGGATTGACAACTCTTAGACATTAATTTCCTTTCCAAGGGGTAGCATCCTGTAGTCTAATGTAAGTTGAATGTCTGCAGCTCAAAGTCTGCCCATATATGAATGTATTAATTATTTGCAAATAACAACTTGATTTTACCTTCCAGAAGTTGGGCTGGCAACTTCGGTTAAGCCACTTTAAATATATTGAAAGAGAATTATGTGTAGTCAAGTCTTCAGCTGGAAAACCCATACTTTCAGCAAACATTGAGGCTTTTTGGAAGAAGGAAAAGGAAAATAGTAAATATACGTGTTTTCCATTTAGTATGGTTGACCAGTCATAACATCTGTTTATACAGATCTTCAACATGAAACCACAATATGAAATTTTTAAAACATTCTTATATTGCAATGCAACAATAAGTTTCCAAGACACTGTAAACATTTTGTGCTTGTATAGGTGAGTTTAAATGTTTCTAGTTCTGTTTTCAATACAAATGCCCACAATGCCTACTTAGTTTTTTGTCCCAGCATGAAGATCATTAGTTTAGATTGTCAAAGACTAGGAGCAAATCAAAAGAAAACATATCATTTTGAAATAAAAAACCTAGACTAAAAATCACTAAAATAAACAGAGAATTATGATCATACTGTCAAATGAAAATGTATAAAACCTGAAGAAAAAAAGTCATTTGAATATGCTTTATTCAACAATTTCTTTAAAATATAGAATCTGTATTTCAATTTTTTTTCTTTCGATATACTATGTGTTTTTGCAAAAATAAATTATTATGGGGAACATATGTAGAAATGTAGACTTTGATTTTTAATATGATCCCTTCTGAGCTCATAGTCATGGGCCCAGTTACATTTTCATCTGTTTATTTTGTGTTTTTCTTCCGTTTGTTTCATTTGGATGGCACGAAACGGTTCAACCCCCCAGGAACAAAAATAATAGTGAAACGAAAAGAAAAGTAGCAACGATAACCATATGGTTGCCTGGTTTTTGGGCCATATGGCGCTGCCCAGGGAATACTTCTGCGTTGTTTTACCTCTGAGCCCAGTTGGGCTGTGCCTGCTTTGCCTTGCTGCCAGTCAGGCACTGATTTTTTCCTTAGCTTGGCTGCTGGCATATTTACTTTGTTTTTATTTCATTATTTTTATTTAAAATGACTGGGCGTGAGTTGTGCCAGGTGTTGCCCCTTGGCACCGGTGTGTGCAGCTTTGGGGAGAAGGGCATCTCTTTGCTCACTGCTCAGATTCTTTCTATTCTTCTCTTTACTTTACTTTTAAAATKTTTTAAAATCCTTGGTTGGCTTACAGAGCCTTAATTGGGGTCACCCTAATTTTGTTTTCTCCTCCCTTCCTCTCCTATTCCTAAAAAGCCTTGTGAAAGATATTAATTATAATTATATTACTATAATAGCAATTCAACCAAAAGGAAAACCCTCCAAAACCACTTTCTTTACCCCCCCCCCCCAGTACTATATCTGCATCCCTTATTTCTACTTCTCTCTGTAAGTATTCTGCCTCCTGAATTTTTTAATAATTAGTTTTGAAAGGGAAGTAATTGTTGGTCTTAAGTAAAATAATTTCTCCTCCTTTGAAAACCACTATCTCTCTATCAAACTTTCAATCTCTATCTCTGTACCTGGCCTGCCTTGTTCTGCTCTCTAAATTTCCAGAAATAGTTAAATCACATCTGTAATACTTTTTAAGAAAAACAGCCACAGGGAAAGGTATGGTAGTGTCACTTCAAAGGAATTTGACCATCTTTGGTCAAACTTCTGAAGCCACACTAAGCAAACCTTGTCCCTTCTGTGGGTCCTCACCAACAGTTCCTTGAAAAAAATCTCTCTCCCCCCCTCCCTCTAGCCCTAAAATTTAGCGGAGGGGGAGCCTGGGAAGTCCTCCCATTGCCGCCAATAGGATGAAAGCTTTTTGTTCTTTTGGATGCAGAACAAAAACGCCCATTCAGAAAGCAATGCTCAAAAAGGCAAATGGGGCCATTTGAATGAAACAAACAAAAATGGATAATTATTCTATATAAATGCACAAGACTAGTAACAAACATACTTTTAAATTATTTAACACAGATATTTTGGCCTTCAACTCCCAGAAATCTAAACAGCTGGTAAATTGGCTGGGATTTCTGGGAGTTGTAGGCCAAAACACTTGGGGACCCACTGGTTGAGAATCACTGCTTTAACAGAAGAAATTTTAAAATAGTTTCTAAATAATGCTAAGTTTATAACTAAATGCTACAAATCATATCCGCATTCATATGGAGTCAATTTCACTGCATTGAAATTTGCTCCCAAGTGAACAGAATGAAAACAATTTATTGGGACAATCTAAAGTATAGTAACAGTAGTCAAAATCCAGCTAAAATGCTGCAGCATGTCCAGTTAAAGCAATTAGTGTGCTCCACTGAATAACCAAATCCTCTCACTGCTGAAAGGTATACGAAATATCCCTGAATAACACAACAGAGAAAGGTTACCTGACTCCCCAACCAGTAAGGTATGTCTGGTATGTTCTATCACTTTTCGTGCCACACCAATGGCATTTTTAATGCGCCTGAGATCAGCTACTGCTCCAACCTGCATAGTGTTACTTAATCAAAATAAATAAACAAACAAAAGGTAAGCAAATAAACTTGTGGTGAAGGATATTTAAAGCTTGTACCAAACTATGCATAATCAACCAATTAACCAACCAATCAAAGAACTCTCCTTTGTGAAGAGAAAAAGCAGAGTATAAAATAAACATCATCATAAATTTTACAAGGAAATTTGAAAATGACTTCAAGACAGGCACACACTATAACCACCTTCTGTGAGTTTGGAGAGTTTAGCATGGTAAGAAGTTGGAGTTAAGCCAAAATGCACACACGCTGCTGCCTAGAGCATACTGTTTCACACTATGAAAATCAGAACTTTGACCTAAAAAGCTCGTTTCCTCTTGAACAAAAGCTTCACTGCCAGAAAGCCCATCTGTTCTTCCCAGTGTCTGAAAGATGTAGACGTACAAGTGTCTGAAAGATATCACCCATTATAATCCATTAAAATGATTCCAAAACTCTGGTTCTTCAGGGGTATTGGACAACAGCTCCCAAAATCTCTATTGACCAAAGTGGTTGAGGTTGCTGGAAGTTGAAGTTCAAAATATCTGGAAGACCAGAATTTGGGAATCACTGATCTATAACAACTTTCTCCAACCTTGGCTATCCTGAATGGGAGGATGAGAGATGTCACTGATCAAAGGTGGAAGGTGCAAAAGGAAATTCACTTTGGCTTCTTTAAAACACTTATCATAACTAACTACTATAAATATACCAAAGCGAGGAAAATATACTGAGCTTGTGTTCTATTCAACTTTTCAAAAATATTGTAAGCCAGGATGTAGCATCAATTTTAAAACACTCTAAAGCATGTTTTCTCTCTAATGATTATAAAGACACCTTGCAGCATTCCAGGAGATCTTTAAAAGTAATGCATTTAGAACAGGGTGTTTGGGGCACATTAATATTTGACATTTCAGAATGGTTTTTTTTTTTCTAACTCCCAGGGACACCCATGCCAGAAACTTGCAGCCATCATGCCTTTTAGCGAATATGTCCGCTCAAATCTGAACAGGAAAGGTTCTGTATACATAATAGAGAAGGCATGCGTAAAGAACTGCAGGATGAGGGAGAACAAATATACTTCCTTCTTGTGGGGTTATCTTACCCATCCATAATCATGGCATCCAATGTTGTTTCTCCATGTTCATCTGGACTTCCTCCATACCCCACACTTCCATCACATTGGTCAATCTCACATTGGCCACAGCCTTTTTCTACTGCATCCAATTCTGAACCTCCTCCTTGTAAGGTGTTCCAAGCTGAAATCAACAAAAACTTTTATCAAATTTACTAAAATGTTTGACTGTGAGTTGAACATATATAGTCCTCTTCAATATGTGTGTGTGTGTGTTTGTGACCTGATCTGGCGAGCACTATGGTCACATGGAAAACCAGAAGACTATGTAACATGGATAAAGCTACTATACAATACAACAAGTATGGTCTGCAGGGATTTCACCACCCTTCAACATCACTGTTGGTGTGCATCAGGGATCAGCACTCATTACTATACATACTCTGTATGGGGACTGCTACAGCAGATTTGCAGACTATGCAGCCCTCCATCAACAGATGCAGACATGGAGGGATAGACTCAGTCATAGTGGACTTCAAATGAACATACCAAAAACAAAGTATATGTAATGTGGCCTCCAAACTGGAAAAAAACAAAACAAACCAAATTAATGGACAAGCGCTCAAGAAGGCCACCCAATTTAAATACCTAGGGTCACTGGTGTTCATAGATGGCGACACAATGCCAGATGTACAGTCACAAATAAATGCAGCCTGGTTGAAATGGCGGCTAACTACTGGCATTCTGTGTGACTAAAATGGCCTCAACAACTCAAGGCTAAGATCTACATTACAGTTGTTTGCCCAGTAGCCCTCTACAAGGCAGAGTATTGGCCAGCAACAAAGGAACAAGAACAAGCCCTTAACACAATGGAAATGGAAATGTGGAAATGGACACTTGGCTTGACACTTCTTGATCATATGCCAAATGATGACATCCATCAAAGACTAGGAATAAATGCAAGAAAATGCGGGAAGCAAGACTACGATGGTACAATCGTGTCATGAGAAGAGAACCAACATCAGTACCACAGACAGAACTACATTTGGAGATTGCAGGACGACAACCATGTGGACGACCAAAGAAAAGATGGGTTGACTCCATCAATGAAGGCATGCGGCTGCCAACCTGAAACCTGAGGATGCCCAAAAAATCCTGTGGAAATGTCAGTCACAATGCCAACCCCTCCATGGAAAAATAGCTTAGAAAGAAGACCTCTCTCTCTCTCTCTGCCAAGAACACATGATCCAGTGCAAAATGTATATATATATATATATATTATTCATATAGCTGAAAGACCAATCTACTCCTATGTCTATTCAAAAGGACATCTCATGGGACTCAATGGGGTTTGTTCCAATATGTAGCCATAGGACTGGATGTTAAAAACACAATGGCTAGGGAAGGTAAAAACCATTTTCAACACTCTTAAACCTAGTCTTACTACAATTATCAGGCAATTGAAGAAAGATTCATATTCCCTGCTTCTTGTGTTTCTACTATAGAATATGACATCATCTACATCAGCTTAAATACACTATAGAATTGGAATAGGCCTTAGCATAGGTGTTCTCATTTTTTTTTCAGGCTCAAGTCTCCAATGAGGGCCCCATGTCTACAACTTAAAAGCAAGCTGTGTAGGGGGTTGCCAACATACGTTATTACTCCTGCTCTTTTTAACAGCAGGAGCTTGACAATCTAACCCCGCTAGGAAAGCGTTTTCCGCCAAGGAGAAGCTTCACTGGGTATCTAATTGTGACAAGCTGGTGTTAAAGGCACAGCAGGAGGCCCTAAAGTAAAAGAGAGGAAGGGAGAAGTGTTGGTAGTGTAAATCTTTCTATACAGAAGGACTGCAAATCTTGTGTCCTGCTAGACGTTGTTGTACTTGAGTACCTATCAGCCCTATACAGCTTGGGTACTTCAGAGTAAAGAGAGTCCCAGTGGCCCTTCAGTTTGGTTGTATGACATCAGTAAGGTACCAAATCCTCATTATTTAAACCATTAACGTACTACTTAATCTAAATATATATTCTAGAATTTTAATAGTTGTATGGTGCTGGACTAGATCAGAGCTTTCCAAACATTTCATGGTGGCGACACATTTTTTAGACATGCATCATTTGGCAACATGGTAATTCGGTTTTACTAGTTAACCATGTTTTAAAGCAGCCCCTTATAAGAGAGGCAAACACATACACAAATTGTAATAGTGAAATGTATGGGGATACAACATATCTCATTAAAACTTGTGGGTTTCAACCCCGGACTGCACAAATCTCTTGTATCATCAAGTTTCCAATCCTCAATGAGTAGCTAGGCTAGTGACAGGGCTAAATTGAGGGATTCTTTCCCCCACATTCCTACACATGTTTGCCCCAAAGAGCTTTGTCTTTCCTTTCCACTAGCCATTTTCACTAGCCATTGTCTCCTCCCCCTTTGATGTCAGAGTAAGGCAATTCTGTGAGGGAACTTCTTTAAGTTGAAAACTGCCCTGGGTTGACCATGCGGTCTCACCACCATTTTTAAGGAAATTCTGCCTTTTCTTCCTTCCAGTAAGGGTGAATTTCATCTCTCTCTAGGCAAAATGTAGCTGCATGGACCTTTTTAAATTTGATCTCATTTAGACGATGAAACTTGGGATTTTTCCACACAGCCCTATATCCCAGAATATCAAGGCAAAAAATCCCACATTATCTGAGTGTGGACTCAGATAATCCAGTTCAAAGCAGATAATATAGGATTTTCTGCCTTGACATTCTGGGATATAGGGCTGTGTGGAAGCACCCTTAGTAAGCAAGCTAGGTCCAAGACCTTCCCCCCAAAAAATGTATTTCTTTTACTTCAATATATATTTTTGAACCTAAAGTTCTGACTCTGCAATCCTAAACCATCCTAAGGAATAGAAGCCTATCCCTACTCACCACACATAAGTTTCTTCTGGTTGTGAAGTTTATTTCTGGTACTCTTGCTATATTTACGGTGGAATCACCCCAACTGAGGATTATTTTTGAGCCTAACAGTTCAGATTTCCCAACAAAACCTTTCATTTGGGTTTTTAGAAATATATGTTTAAGAGAATGACATACATTGGCAATATTTCTTGTCACTTCTCCTTATGTTTGTGTGATGCACCTACTCACTGTAGCTGAAATATTAACTAAAGTTGTTGTGACACACAGCTTGGAAAGCCCTGAACTAGAACACTGGGAGACCAGAGCTTGGCCATGGAAACCCACTGAATGACCTTGGAAAAGTTGCACTGTCTCAGCCAAAGAAGGCAAATCACCCCCCACCCCCAAATCTTGCTGAGAAAACTCCAAGAGGTGTTTGCTTAGAGTTGCAATAAGTTGGAAATGGCTTGACAGCATGTAATGTCTGATCATGTGCCAAATGCTTGTATGTCCACTTATCAGGGACCCACACCAGACAGCAACTATATTGGGGAGTAGGGAGCTAGAACATTAACTGTGACAAAACGAGGCATATTTCATGCTAGATGGAGCACAAAACATTTGGAGAGACCATCTGTCCCCGACTATGTCAGAAGTGGTGCTTTCTTCTCCATCAGCGAAATGCTCACCAAGATTCACACTGGATACCACTGAAGAAGATTTACTGCTTTTGCCATCTTCGTGTGATCTGAAAACTACAGGGAAAATTGTAAAGAATAGGCATGGCTCTCATTTTTCCCTGGCATTGGCCTTCAGGAAAAATCACATGTCCCTCTCAGGGCGCTTCCACACAGCCCTATATCCCAGAATATCAAGGAAGGAAATCCCATGTTATCTGAGTGTGGACTGAGATAACCCAGTTCAAAGCAGATATTGTGGGATTTTCTGCCTTCATATTCTGGGATATAGGGCTGTGTGGAAGGGCCCAGAGTGGGATGATTCCCTGATTTTGGAGTCCACTGAAAATATTTTGCTATCTGATGTAAAGGAGAAGAGAGATCCTCCATCACTTCTACAAGTCACTTCTACAGATAATAATAAAATGCACTAAGAACTTGAGAGCCAGTTATGTGCAGTTTGAACACTGGGTTACAATTCTCTAAACCCTGCAGATTATCTGCTTTGAACTGAATTATATGGCAAGGTCCTTCCACACAGCCATATAATCCAGAATATCACGGCAGAAAAGCCCACAATATCTGTTTTGAACTGGGTTATCTGAGTCCACATTGCCATATATTCCAATTCAAAGCAGAAAATGTGGGATTTTATTCAACTGTGTGGAAGGGGCCGCTGTGTAGACTCATATAATCCAGTTCAAAGAAGATAATATGGATTGTGTGCTTTGATACTCTGGATATATGGTAGTGTAGAAGGTGCCACAGTGACCACTCTCTCAACTTCACAAGACCTCTTCTGCAGGCCCTTCCAGACAGGCCCTATATCCCAGGATCTGATCAAAGGTTTTCTGTTTTAAACCGGATTATATTAGCCCCCACTGCCAGAAAATCTGGGATAAACAGAAAACCTGGGATCAGATCCTGGGATATAGGGCCTGTGTGGAAGGGCCCTGAGCATATCTTGCCGAAGAAATCCCAGCAACAAGCTCTATTTAGGGTTGTCATAGGCCAGAAGTGACTTGAAGGCACATGTAACTGTGGGCCCTTCCACACAGCCATATAACCAAGAATAATAAAATGGACGTAAGAATTTGAGAGCCAGTTATGTATGATTTGAGTGCTGAGCTATAACTATGCAAACTGCTCGACCATGAAGCTCACTAAGGCCCCTTCTATACTCCCATATAAAGTCCAGATTATCTGCTTTGATCCAGATTATATGGCAGGGCCCTTCCACACAACCATATAACCCAGAATATTGAGGCAGAAAATCCCACAATATCTGCTTTGAACTAGAATATCTGAGTCTACACTGCCATATATATAAATACGTGAGAGGAAGTCATAGGGAGGAGGGAGCAAGCTTGTTTTCTGCTGCCCTGGAGACTAGGACGTGGAACAATGGCTTCAAACTACAAGAAAAGAGAATCCATCTGAACATGAGAATTTCCTGACTATGAGAGCCATTCAACAGTGGAACTCTCTGCCCCGGAGTGTGATGGAGGCCCCTTCTTTGGAAGCTTTTAAACAGAGGTTGGCCATCTGTCGGGAGTGCTCTGAATGCAATTTTCCTGCTTCTTGGCAGGGGGTTGGACTGGATGGCCCATGAGGTCTCTTCCAACTCTATGATTCTATATCCCAGTTGAAATAAGATAATGTGGGATTTTATTCAGCTGTCTATGTCTTATTTTGGGGCACATCTACACTGTGAGATTAATGCTGTTTGACACCAGTTTGACTGCTATGGAATCCTGGTAGTTGTGGTTCTTTGCCAAAGAGTGCTTGCCTTGCCAATGCTTCCATAGGTAAAGGTAAGGTAAAGGTTGGCAGTTCGAAGACCAGGTAGGGTGAGCTCCTGGCCATCAGCCCAGCTCCTGCCAACCTAGCAGATCAAAAATAGCAATTGTGAGTAGAAAAATAGGTAGATGAAAAGGTAAAGGTTTCCCCTGACATTAAGCCCAGTCGTGTCCAACTCTGCAAGGTGGTGCTCTCCATTTCTAAGCCGAAGATCCGGCATTGTCCTTAGACACCTCCAAGGTCATGTGGCCAGCATGACTGACTAGAGCGCCGTTACCTTCCCCCCTGAGTGGTACCTTTTGATCTACTCACATTTGCATGTTTTTGAACTGTTAGGTTGGCAGAAGCTGGGGCTGACAGTGGAAGCTCACGCCGCTCGCCGGATTCGAACCTGCGACCTTTCGATCAACAAGCTTAGCAGTTCAGTGTTTAATTCACTGTGCCACAGCTTCCATAGCATTGAGTCAAAGTGGTGTCAAACTGCATTAATTCCACTGTATAGATGCACCCTTCAGCACTCTGAAGGTGCAGCTACACTGTAGAATGAATGCAGTTTAACATCATTTTAACTGCCATGGCTCAATGCTATGGGATCCTGGGATCTGTAGTTTGGGGAGGCCCCAGCAAAGGCTACATAAAGCCTCTGCAAAACTACTCCTCCAGTGGTTTCACAGCACTGAGCCATGGGGATGAAAGTGGTGTTCAACTGCAGTCATCCTTCAGTGCAGATGCAGGCTGAGAGTCTTCCAGGAGAAGGACAACCTAGAAACAAAAGTGAGGCAGCACCTGTCTCTGTCGCCTTCCCAAACGCCCAGGTGTTGATCACCAGAGGCAGCTGAGCAGCAGCCACCAGCGGGAGCAGGGCCAACCACAGAAGGGGTCTCCTTGGGAAAAGGAAGAGCCGGCTGTTCCCCATTCCCGCCACCGCCCCGCTCGCACTCCCTTCTACGTCTCATGACTGCCGGCGGATGGTACGCATGCGCACTAACAGCAAGGGGGCGGAGTCGGAGCACTCACGCGCGCGGTTCCTTACTAAAGTCTCTGCTCTCTGTTTCCCCCTCCTCTTTGGACTTCAACTCCCAGGATTCCTGGCTACTGACAGGAGCGACAGGGGCTTCTGGGAGTTGAAGTCCAAAACATCAGGAAGACTCAAGCTTGGAAATGAATGCAATTCCTAATCTGATGAACCAACCTGGACACAGCATTTTATTTGAGAACACAG